GTTGTGCAATGTAATGAACATGGAACATCTTTGAGAATGAAGATGTGGGTCAGACCGAGGCTCAGGGCACAAGCTTTCACGAGAGCTATCTCGCTTGTGTTGGCTGCTGACAATACATTTCCACTTCATAACTACATCAGACTGTGGAGTCTAATTATTCTGTGTATTCTTCAATTCCATCTAACACTTTACTGTGTACTTTACACCACTTTGTGTGGAATCAGACAGACAGGGAGAAGTCCAACCCCTCAGCTATTTTATTGCACCGTTTTCATGAATCACTCTCCATTCTGGGGCAAGGGGAGAGAAAATCAAGGTATGAGCAGCCCATGAATGAGCTTATTATATTGCCAAACATCTTGGAGACTCTGAAACAGTCTTTTATACAATGCAGCTTTATCCTTATCTCTGAAAAGGATTCTGTGATGTGGCAGCACATGCAGTAGCATATGACCAACCTAAATGACCTCAGAGATCAAGTCCAGCTCTGCAGTCTCTAACTGTCCTTTGCTCAAAGGCAGTTGGTGTTACACCACTAAACCTAACAGAATAAACACCCAGGCAAACCCTTTGTGTTAGATTCACACAGCCTATTTCAGAAAAAAAACTAAATAAAAAATCAGGAGAAATCTTAGTTGCACATAAAACACTTTTTGTGCTCCTGCAGAAATTACACGTAAAAAGAGCAAAGCATCATTAATTTTTAAGATAAGAAATGTCATGAAAGATACACCATAGCACCAAGAAAGTTAGATGGTCTTAATAGCAGGAGAAACAAGCTGGTAAGGGTTATGTGTTTTTCTTGGCTGGCATTTACACTGTGAGTAATTTCCTGGTGTATTTGTCAGGCTCAGCACACCAGGCCCCACAGCACAGAGGGTTTGGGGGTTCCTGCTGCACCTGTGGGGCTCAGCAGACCTTACCCCACAGCATAGAGGGTCTGGATGGGCTGCTCCCAGCTCCTCTGCAGGGCCTGGGCCCGGATCAGGTGCTCTGCATACTGGTATGTCAGCCTGCTGGGTTTGCCCATCAGCGCCTCGTACTTCAGGTCTCTGCCAGTGATCTTCTTGTAAATGTTTTCCAAACAGACCATGAATGTTCCGTGCCCAAACCTACAGAGATATAGAAACAAACCATGAATGTTGTGTGTGCAAACCTACACAGATAAAAAACCAGACCATGAATGCAACCAGGAACGTTCCATGCCCAAATCTACACAGATATAAATCCAAACCATGAATGTTGTGTGTCCAAACCTACACAGATAAAAAACCAAACCATGAATGTAACCATGAATGTTCCATGCCCAAACCTACAGAGGTATAAAACCAAACCATGAACATTCTGTGTCCAAACCTACACAGATAAAAAACCAAACCATGAATGCAACCAGGAACGTTCCATGCCCAAACCTACACAGATGTAAAACCAAACCATGAACGTTCTGTGCCCAAACCTACACAAATATAAATCCAGACCATGAATGTTTTGTGTCCAAACCTACACAGATAAAAAAACCAGACCATGAACTTTCCATCCCCAAACCTACACAGATAAAAAACCAAATCATGAATGTAACCATGAACGTTCGATCCTCAAACCTACAGCGATGTAAATCCAAACCATGAACATTCTGTGTTCAAACCTAGACAGATAAAAAACCAAACCATGAATGTTTTGTGACCAAGCCTATAGAGATATAAAACCAAACCATGAATGTTCCATCCCCAAACCTACACAAATATAAATCTAAACCATGAACATTCCGTGTCCAAACCTACAGAGATATAAATCCAAACCACGAATGTTTTGTGTCCAAACCTACACAGATACAAATCAAATCCATCAATGTTCCATCCCCAAACCTACACAGGTGTAATACCAAATCAAATTACATTAAGCACAGATTTAAAACATCAAACTAGGCTTTTTTATTTAATTATTTTTTAGGAATAAATCGTGTCCTGCAACTACCAAATTCTGATCAGTACTCAATATTTCTGCAGCTGGTTCACTGAAAATTTGGTGCTGATTAGCTGAACAACTGACACCACAATAAACCCACATTACTGGGATGGCACAACAGATTTATTTAATTTTAAAATTGCTCACGGGAGGTATCCTGGCTGCCTTAGTGCAGCCTGAAGCCATCACACAGATCTCTTTTCCAGTGTGTTAATTAGAGATGGCCTCTGCTTCCAAAGACTGGCATCTGAGCAGATCTTTGACCCAGGACTGAGGCAGCAACCAAGTCACAGTAAGAAATTTCTATTTCAAATTACAGACGGAGGGGAAGGGAGGGGAAACAAACCTATTAAAGAAGTACCTTCTATTGTCAGCCAAATCAAACAAAACCTCTCTAAGAGGTCCTGGCACCTTGTTCTGTGTGTTCTGCTTGGTTTTCCTTGTGTTCCCTAAAGAGCTCACTCATTGTCCTCAGCTCAGAACCACTCACTGCTTTCAACCAGCAGGGTCAGCCCTTTACCCTACCAGGAAAAGAGAAATACCAAAGAGGGACCTAATGAAATGAAACAATGGCCTTGATAATTTTTTCATTTTTGCCTTTGAACCGAGGCTCTGAGGCCCTCAGGAAAAAACCTCTCTTTCTCCATTGTTCTGGGACTGAGGAAACAAAAGGTTTAGAGCTTAAAAGCAGCTTTTCTCTTGAGAAGTGATTTCCTGGATGCAATAATGCAGCCAGCAGCCAGGCAGCATTAGCTGAAAGTGCATTAGAGATGCTGCACTCAAAGCCAAGTCACCAAGCATTCTGTATTCAAGGGCTGGCTCTGAATCCTGCTGGAAAAACCCCAAATAAATGCCAGTGGCATAAACAAAGCACTCACCTTGGGGACTGTGCCTCAGCCACCCACATCAGGTCCATGTTGCAGGCCAGCACAGGGATGTGAGGGTAGCTCTCCTGCCCGTAGGGATTGCCAGGATAGCCACTGGTCAGCAGAACATCGATGATCAGCTGCAGGCTGGTCTCCCATCTCACTGGCTCCCCAAACAGCACCACAGCTGGCAGAAGCACAGGCACACAACAGCCATGGAATTGTTAACAGGGCACTGAAAACTTGGCCTAAAGAGACTGAACAAGTCACTTAAAATAACCAGGAACTGATCAAACACTCACATTAATTTAGGGGCTTAATATATCACATGCACATCCAGTCAGAGAAATCTCAGAAGTAACAAGATTTTACCCACTGTAAAATCTACAGGTTTAGGAATTTTATTTTACAGGTGTAGTTTCTCCAGAAATTACAATATCAACTTCTAAATTGTATTTCTAAGTCTTCCATAATTTATGAGTTCCCTGTTTACATGCAGTATTTAAATACAACACCAGAGATGTTGATTTGTTCACCTCAGAACACAATTTGGATGTCGTTTTTGAAAATTGCTTTGATCTCCAGCAATAATCTGACATGGCTATTTTTAAATCCTAAGGTCCAATTTCTATTTTCCTGTAGTTCAGATTAGAGGAGAGTGAACACAACACCTTTCTCATACTACTGCTGATCCTGACTACTTGTAAGAACAAGATTAATTATTTCTGAATAATGAACATCAGCTCATTATGAAAGGAGAGCAACAATAATCTGTTAAAGGCAGATGAAAAGGAAAGGAGACCTCATATACCCTTCAAACTTCAAAAGCCAGTGGCTGAAAACTGCACACATTAAAAAACAGCTTTACAACACGTGATGCTTTCAAATGAATGACAGATGTCATTAACAAGGAAATTTTAGGATTGTCTCAGACAAATTTTGAAAGTGCCCAGCAATCTAAAAAATAATTTCTGAGAATAGAATAGAATAGAATAGAATAGAATAGAATAGAATAGAATAGAATAGAACGGAACGGAATGGAATAGAATAATTTATTAATGGATAGATTCAAGTTAAATAAGGATAACTGACCCTCAATCTTGGGAAGCTCCACAGCAGACGGGGACTGCAATAAGAAAAAAGTGAAAGTTTTCTACAAGATGAAACATCTATTTTTAACAGAATAAATTCCAGCTCAGCTCCCACAGCTGCCTCCTGTCCCTCCAAGAGGAAATGCACTCTACATTGATATATTCCTGATGCCAGTTCACTCAGAAACTTGTGTTTCCTCTCTGAGGTGACACCTCTGGCACAGGGACTGCAGTGACTGTGCTCTACCTGCTCCTGCCTCCTGCTTCTCCTCAGCTGCTCTGGAGCTTTTTAACTCCAGCTGTGAAAATTACTTGTGTTGTGATTTCAGTTGTTTAAATTACTTGTTTAATTAGCTGTTTTAACTACTTGTGTAGGAAAGTATGGATGTTTATTTTACCACAGGAGTAAGAGGCCTCCAGCAGTACCAGGACATTTGAAAAACAGATTTTGAGATGTTTTTCTTTAACACTTCTAACAAAGAATGCACTGTATAACATGTAATATATTTGCTGAACAATTAAGAGTCTGCACTTCATTATTTGCTCTGTGTGGTGACAAACACTTTAGCAGGTTCTTGACCTTCCCACAGCTGAGCTATGATCCTGTGAGCCACAGAGAATGTCCTTACTGCACGTGAGGAAATCCACTCTGCAGGCTGGCCCTGAGCAGGTACAGCACACCCAGATATATTCACTTCTGCTTTAATTCTGCACAATCCAGCTGGAACCGCTGTACCCACTGCTGACATTTAAATTGTGATGTTAACAGCAAACGGAGTCCTTTGAGGGAAAATTGTTTCTCTTCAAAGCTTTCATTTGCAATCAAAGCAACCTCATGGGTCAGGAGCAATAGCAACACAATCATATATTCAGGGAAAAGCTTATGTGATCTTCCACACCTTCTGAGGAAGCTGATCAGCTTTCCAAGGCAGATTTTGCATTAGGTACCTGTATTAGATTGTGAGTTTTCCCACAACAGCAGGCTATAAAATCAAAGGCTGGGTTAAAGAATTACTACTGAGAGAAGAGAGTTGTTCTTGAGAATGTTGTAATAAAACAAATAAGGAAGCAGAAAAGTCAAAACACAATGTAAGAAGAGCAGCATTAGCTTGTTAGCCAAATATTGATCCCTGTTGTAGGATGTCATGCAAGGAGCAAACAGAGAGGTTTGAAACACAAACGTCACTCACCAGGACATTGGGTCTTCTGTCATGGTCAACTGCATCGAGCAGAGGGCGTTTCTCCCGCAGGGTGTCAATGGTGATGGGCTGGCAGAAGCCAAGGCTGGGGCAGCCAGCTAAGGACACACAGCTGCTCACAGGGAGAGGTTTTCTGACTGCTCATTCCACCTTAACCATTTAGAGGTACTCAACTGACAAATTAGTTAGCAATGAAAGCAACATCAAAGACAGATTTTCCTTCTGTGAGGCAAAAAGCTGATCTGATAAATGAGAGACCAAAGTTCTTCTGTTTTGTTTTCAGTCCTCTCCTCTCTGAGCCAAGCCTAAAGAATTTTGAATTTAGAAATGCATTTCCTAAGAGACAGTACCTTCAATACCTTTTTCTCAGTTTTGTACTTCAAATAGAGTATACTTATACTCTATACTTATGCTTAAAAGTTGTATATACATTTTTACAACTTATGATTTACACCGACTTCAATGAAAATCCCACTGAAGGAAGAAGTGCAGAAGGGACTTAATGGAAGCCTGAGCAAAGCTTATGCAAAAGTTAAGGTTATTAAGTTACAGTTTGAAATTTTGAAACCACCATGATATCAATATAATTCAAGTCCTTTGGGCACTTGGTATAAAACCACATTCAAAACATAAATTTGGCACCATACTAGGAGCTATCATTACTATTTATTACTGCATTTGTAGGGTTGAAATATTTGATTTTCACTTCATCCATAGGCTCCCTTGAACCTGATTAAGGAAAACACATTGGCAGAAAGTTGCTGGCTTTTTTAAACTCTTTTTTTAAAGATACTCTCGAGCAATATCAAGAAGGGGTCCTTGTCCAGATACCAGGACACATTTTTTATGATAACGCTTGAACATCCGCAGAGGACTGTGGGACATCATCACTTGATCTTGGGAAATCTGTTTGGGATTTAAAAACAAAAGGACTCTGTTGTATTCCAGAGAAGTTGTTCATACATAGATTCAATTAACAGATGTGACAGATTCCAGGAATTACATAACAAACAGCATTTTCTCCTTTCACAAATGATGTATTGATAATATGCCAGAAAAAAAAACCTTACTGACAAGTTATCACACATCCCCCTTTCAGCTCCCAACTCTATTCAACATGAGCAAGCCTTTCTCTCCTGGTTTGATAAAATCACCAAGGGAAGGAGAATCAGAACCGGTTCCAATTGTGGTCCCTTTGCTAAACTGCAGCTGTGATTTAATTGTACCAGATTACCACCTTCTTTTAGCTTACACATCCCCACCCCTTCAACAGGACAGGTAGCAACCAGCCTGTTGCTATTATTGTGGAAAGATGCTCCTGTGAATCACTACTTACCATCTTTCCCAATAAATACATTTACCCTTACTATTGGAAAAACCAGTGCCTTTACCAGTTAGGTTTGGACAGCGCTTTTTACTTTCAGCAAAGTACATCAGGGGGCTTTAGGGGAAAAGCAGCCCTGATGAGCTGAGCAGCATTTCATGGAAAATAACACATCTGACATGCAATTTAACATGCAATAAATGGCACTGAGGTGACTCACTGGAACCCCCAGCAGGTGGGACAGCTGCTCAGCCTTCTTCTGGCGCAGGCAGTTCCCAGCGTTGGTGACAAAGACCACGGGCACCAGGAACTGTCCCTGAGGGTTCACCAGCTTGCCAAAGGCTGCTCTGGCAGCAGGGATGGGGGTCCTGCCTCGCACCAGCACCCCATCGATGTCAAACAGGAACCCAAAGGATGGCAGCACGCGGGGCTGGGAGGAGGGGTGAAATCAGAAGGTACGTTAGTTATGCATGTCCTTACATATTACATCCAATATTACATATTGCGTTAAATATTACATATTGCATTCAATATTACATGTTTAATAGAGTTTACAGCAGCTACAGCCCCCTGAGAACAGACACCCCCAGTGAGAGCAGGGGAGCTATAACCCTGCACATCTTATTGTGCCTTACAGGCACATCTTCATGCTAAAAACGTGTTGACACAAGCAGCACCACAACTCCCTCTGCCTTCTGCATACACACTCATGAGAGCTATTTTGCCTTACAAATAGTTCCAGATTGTTTCAGAGGATAGGGAAAAATTAACTTAAACTGATGCCAAGAGGTACAAAATACATGCTGCTGTGCCAGTGAGTCACACTCTAATGGCTTAACCCCCACAGGATACTAACAAACTATGCAAAAGTAAATTTTTCAGCAGTAGGCAGGTCTTGGGCAAAAGTACCACAAGTATTGTACTTGGCTGCTCCCTTCCAAGGTGTTTGTGGTAAGCCCGGGTTAGTAACATCAACACTGGAAATATATTGCATTCCCATTCATTTAAATTAGGCTGGGGTTTTGTCTTCACATGCAAGAACTCCCCCTGAAGCCTCATCTTCTCTCCTCTGTAGAACCATCACCCTTTAAAGAACAAAACCCCTGAAATCCTGGTCTCCACATAGCCTGCACCCGTTTCAGGAAAGCTAGGTCAGAAATATCCCAACTGCTGCAGAGATGCTGCTAAAGGCTCGCTAATAAATGCAGAGCAGTCTTCCCAGGCTTTGGGAATGGGTACCAGAAACTGCTGAAACTACAGCGGCATTGGCATAATTTTGTAGCAGATGCGATCCTTTACGTTAATTTTGCGACATATGAGTAACAGATGTATAGATAACAGGTTACTAATGGGAATTTTACAGTGAGTAACACTAGCAGGAAGAAAAAGAAAGGGGGAAAAGCAATAAGGAAAGAAGTGAACATATATATTTATATATATGATAGATATCATGACAGATAGAGGTACTGAAGTCAGTAGCTTTGTCTCCCTTTTGGCCCTAAAGGAATTGTTGGTGGCAGGAGTGCTGTGCCGCGGACAGAGCCGGCAGCGGTCGGAAGGAGTTTCCCTGGTTCGCTCTGTAAGACCAGAGCACACGCAGCCCCGGGACAGGAGCTGCAGCCGGCAGCGCCCGGGAAACCCATCCCGGAGTCGCGGGGAAGCGAGGGTACCCCGGGCATCCCCGGCTGCGCTCCGCCGCGCCCCGCGTCCCTTTCGCTTTCGGTGCGCCCGGCCCGCCCGCCCCGGGCCCCGGCCCCGCTCACCGCGCTGTGCCCGCTCCGCCCGGCCGGGGGCCCGCGCATCCCCTCCCCGCGGGGCGCCGGCGGCCGCGGCGGGCGGGCGGCCCCGAGCAGGGCGCGCAGCGGCGGCAGCGCCCGGCGCATGGCGAGCGAGTGCGGGGCCGGCACCGCCCGCCCGGCCCGCGTCACTCACCGGCAGCGTCACCGCGTCACGGCACAACGTCAGCCGGGCAGCGGGGCTGCGGCACCGCCGCGCCTTGCCCGGGCTCCGCTCCTCCGGAGCACCGCCGCCGGCGGCACTGACGAGAGCGGGCAGTGCAGCATCCCGAGCCAGGAGATAACTGTGCTCGATTCAGTAACGCAGCAGAAGAAACATTCTGTCCGGTTCTGCCCGGCCAGGGGATGAAGGGGCTGGAGCATCTCTCCTCAAGGAAAGGCTGAAGCCGAGAGGATGGAGCAGGCTCTGCCTGGTGGTGCCAAGCATTTGGACACTGATGCCCAGGAAGAGCTTCTTCCCTGTGCAGTGACTGAGGGTGGAACATTGTCCAGAGAGGGCGTGGAGTTGTCTCACTGGAGCTACCCCAGAAGTGTCTGGACAAATCCTGTGTCCTGTGCTCTAGGATGGCCCTGCTGGAGCAGGGAGGCTGGAGCAGATATCCCACAGTTGTCCCCTCCAGACTGATCTGTGACAGTGGCCACAGGGGTCTGAGGGTGAGGGAAGAGACCAGGATCTGACTCCATGTTTCACAAGGCTTGATTTATTATATTATGATATATATTACATTAAAACTATACTAAAAGAATAGAAGAAAAGGTTACATCTCAGAAGGCTGGCTAAGAATAGAATAGCAAAGAATGATAACAAAGGTTTGTGGCTTGGACAGAGAGTCAGAGCCAGCTGACTGTGATTGGCCATTAATTAGAAACAACCACATGACACCAATCACAGATGCACCTGTTGCATTCCACAGCAGCAGATAATCATTGTTTACATTTTGTTCCTGAGGCCTTTCAGCTTCTCAAGAAGAAAAAATCCTAAGGAAAGGATTTTCATAAAAAGATGTCTGCGACACTGATCCATTCTGGGATTCATTTTTTGGGAGAAAGCCACTACAGTCCCTCAGCTCTGCACCCTGCAGCTAAACTGGAAAGTGAGACACACAGCACAAAATGTCATTAGTTAATGGATACTCTGCAAAGCTGTCTCTGTTTATCTTGCTCATCTGCTAATGCAGATTAGGTAAATCCACTTATTTCCTAGTGCTGCCAACAAATATTCCTCAGCACCCCTGTGGCTGCGAGGAGAAACTGATCCTTCAGGGACTGCACTGCACTCCCCAGGACTCAGAACAAGGAAGGTGCCTTCCCTCTGCAGCACTGCCATGGCTGGCATTAAATAAACACACACATGCATTTCTAAGAGACAAAAGCAGGCCCAAATCGATGCAGCAGACACAATTAGAGTTTATCCCCTTGCTGAAGCCAGGACCACACACAGGGCAGGACCCTGAAGCACACATGTAAGAATACATGCAGTACCTGTTTTCCAAGCTGGATGTGCTCAGGGCTGGGGCATTCCAGAGATGGAATGAGCCACAAGCCTGGCAGCACACACACATCCCAGCACAGCTGCACTCAGAGCTGAGCAGAGCCTGCCCACTGCTCCGTTTTCCAGGACAAACAGGATCCATTTCCAGGCTGTGACCACAGCAGCTTCCCCACCCTGGCTGCACCAGCAATTCCACAGCCTGGCAGGACACAGGATTTGCTATGGGCCACTCTGAGAAATAATTACTGTGCAATTTGTTCCCTCAGATGCAGCCAAGAGCACTCAGCTCAAAAATGCTCCACACTCAGAGCTACAGAGAGGATCTGGCACAGCAGGGCCAGGCAGCAGCCAGTCTGCCCTGCACTTACACACTGCAGTTCTTGCATTTATTCCTTTGCTGTGTTGGCTGGCAGAGATCAGCCCTGTCTACAAACCTGCCTTTTACATCATGCTGTTGGTCATACTCCTTTGAACATGACTGTAATTACAATCCCGTTGGTTTTTCCCCATTCTTTCCATTTATTCTTCTTTTGTATTTCTGTTACCATCACTCTGTCCCTGACCTGCCTTTACCCTTGTGTCTTCTTTTATCTTGTAATTCATACAGTGACAGAAGGATCTACCACTGGTATCACCAAGCCCTCAGACTGTGTCAGGCCACAAGAATCAGCTGTTTTTTCCCCTGCTTAAATCTAGTTTGGTTATCTCCAGTATGCAGTTAAGCAAATCTACAACAAATTATTATAAGCCATAAAGACATTGTTTGCTGCTTTCTTACAAAGCAGAGAAAGCTGCACTGCTGCCAGGAAGAGAGAAGAATGTGTTTGTGACGTTAGTTGTCTGTTTGCTACCCAAAATTGAGCTTTTGATTTATTCTGGGGTTTTTTTTAGTTTTAATTTGGCAGCTATGCTTTCCACTTTTTCAATTCCAATTTTTTTTTCTGATCACTTCATCAAGCTTGTTCTGGAGTGGATTATTCACAATAGATTGCAATATATAAACACTGAGAGCATCCAGAAATGCTGAACAGACCCAAACCTGGTCGTTCAAAAGGCTGTTCCTTGGACTGAAATTCTGCAGGGCTGCAGACCTGGCTGTTCAATACTGTGTTCCTTAGACAGAAAATCTCCAGGGCTGCAGATGCCCACCTTCAAATGCCATTCATTCAGACCTATTAGTCATCCATAAGACTTTGACCAGGCTCTACCTTGCCTCCTGTCCCAGGATTCACAAGCCAAGAGCAGTAGGGGATGCAGAGCTTCAATCCCTACAGGGATGGCTGTCTATGATCCCAATTCTTTGGCTACCACTAGGGAATCATCACAATCCTTTGAGCTAGAATAAAATAGACATCAGGTTGTAAATAAGTTTTAATAAAAAATGTTTGAACAAGGTATTGCAAAGTTTTTTTACAGTAGCTGCTGGAATATCCAGCATTTAAGCAATTCATCTGGGCACAGTTACAAACCACAAAAAAGGTAACAGGCTGTAGCCATTGCAAGTGTTTTAGAAAGAATCAAATCTGCTCCAAATTCACTCCTAAGATCTACCTTCAAGGCCCCTCTAGACAGGTTCCAGGCTGTTCTGGTAAATGAAGCAGGTGTAATAGTGTGAGTTACTTCTCAGCTCAACAACAGCCAGCAGGAGAAGCTGTGCACACTCACAGCCAGGACAGAGCAGACAGGATGGCAGGAGCACCGTGGGTTTTCTGCCAGGATTTAGGATCGTGCTTCTATCTGCAGGAGGCCCCACAGCACAGACCCTTTCCCAAACTGAAAGCACTGCAGGCAGCTGTTGGATGCACAGACAAGTTCACCAAGGTTTGACCCTTTCCAGCACTGGAGCACTAGTCAGAAAGTAGAGAAACCAGAGTGATGGCTCTCCTCCTGCACACCACACTGTAATCCCAGCAGCCTGCTCCACATCCCAAGGAACTTGCAGAGCTAAAACCCACTGTACCAGAAGTGAGGAGCCTGCTGCTCTCAGAGGGATCACACACTGACCAGGCACTGTGCACTGTTACAAGCCCAGCAGGGTCTTGGCCTCCTCGCTCTGTGCCAGCAGGGTTTCACTGGCGTACTTCTGCAGCAGCTCCATCTTCTTCCTTCGCACAAGAGCTTCCTCAATCTGCAGAGACAAAACCAGGGTGGATTCAGCTCAGCTGGGATGCTGAGACCTCAAATGCTCAGCTATACCACAACACCTCCCAATTTATGGAATACTTAGGGAGGTTTTGGAAATTCACAGGTGAAAAGGGGTTATAGCATTTGCAAGGGGATTAAACAGCTGCAGAGTCAAGTCACAGAAATCACAAATTTAGGGCACTTTCACTGATGACCTGATGTAAATGAAGATGTGCCTTGCAAAAGCCAGTGTGCATCTCTGCAGCTGAGTGCTGTTCTGCCTTACCTCCTGCTGAGTTGGCACTGGAACATGTGCAATAAATTTCTGTTGGCCATCTTCACCTTCTCTCTCCTTGCCACCTTCCTCATCAGACTAAAAAGTGAAAAAATCACATCAGGGTTATTTTCTATAGAGGTCATAAAAACCCCTTTTTCATTTGCTTTGCCAGAAGGAACAACACATGATCAACACTATAAAAACAGGAATGAGTGAAGAGGAGCCAGCACCAAAAGAACACAAGGATCACATGCAGACCCTGCTCCTGGACATTTTCAGCATTACTGCTGCCATTTCTCATAAGGCCTTTGCTCTGCTGTGGCATGGCCATGAATGTAAAGCTGTAATTCCTCCCCTTCCATGCCACAGCAATGCTGTGAACAGAAGAGGAGCCAGCTAAACAAGACAGCAAGTGCATTAAAAATATGGGTACCACTTCCCTGAACAGCTCAGTACTGCTCTGGTCCCACACCTAAGAGCTGGGCTCATGAACCATGGGATCATACAAATAAAATAGGTACTGGAGGAGCCACCAGATCCATCTGATGATGGATTGTCACAGACATCTTTTATGAAAAATCCTTTCCTTAGGATTTTTCCTCCTGAGAAGCCTCAGGAACAAAATGTAAACATTGATTATCTGCTGCTGTGGAATGCAACAGGTGCATCTGGGATTGGTCTCATGGGGTTGTTTGTAATTAATGGCCAATCACAGTCAGCTGGCTTGGACAGAGAGCCGAGCCACAAACCTTTGTTATCATTCTTTCTTTTTCTATTCTTAGCCAGCCTTCTGGTGAAATCCTTTCTTCTATTCTTTTAGTATAGTTTTAATATAATATATATCATAAAATAATAAATCAGCCTTCTGAAACATGGAGTCAGATCCTGGTCTCTTCCCTCATCCTCATACCCCTGTGAACACGGTCACAATGGATTCCTCCTTTTTATTCTTGTGCTTAACCCACCTAGATACAGACTGAGAAATGGGACCTTGTTTCCAGTACCCTCCTCCAGATCTCACTGGGAGCAGATCTCATGTCAGAAGAAGCAGCCATGTCACAGCAGTGACAGCAGCACCAGCTGCACCACGATCCAAGTGCAAACAAGGCCCTGCACCCCTTGGGTT